TTTTCATTACATGTATCCAACAGGTGTAGCATTAGAAAGAGAAGTAGATGGAGATTTAATTTTAGGAGATATGGGCCAAGGAATGCCATTTAAAGCAGGATGTTTTGATGGAGCAATTAGTATTTCTGCATTACAATGGTTATGTAACGCAGATAAAAATTCACATGATCCATCAAGACGATTATATAAATTTTTTTCTACCTTGTTTTCATGTTTGTCGAGATCAGCTAGAGCTGTGTTTCAATTTTACCCTGAAAATAGCGCACAGATTGAATTAATTACAACACAAGCAACAAAAGCAGGCTTTTATGGAGGCGTGATTATAGATTTTCCAAACAGTACTAAAGCAAAAAAATACTTTTTAGTTTTAATGACAGGTGGACCTTCTGTTCTTCCACAAGCTTTAGGTGTGAATGAACTTAACTCAAATGTCTCTTACACGTCTAGAAGGTTAAGTTCCGCATTGCTTTGATTTATGTTAAATTATTGCCCAGTTTCTAATTTTATTATAGTTATTTAATTTGATCTCTTTGTTTCTTCAGGGAACGGATGAAAAAAACCAAAGGCAAATATCTGAAGAATAGTAAAGAGTGGATTATTGAAAAGAAAGAAAGACGTCGAAAACAAGGAAGGAAAGTTCCAGAAGATTCAAAATATACTGGAAGAAGAAGATGCGGGAGATTTTGACAAACACTAGTCTGGTCCTCATTCATTTCTGAATTTCTAGTTTGAGAGAATAAGCATTTATTTACTAAACAGGCACAGGCATATTTGACTTTGTTCTTCAAAAAGGAATTGTTCATAATAAAAACATAATAAAGAACTTAACCTCTTTCAGATCTTTTGTCTTCTACATTGTCAACATTTATACATTAGAAGAAAAATATTATAAGAGAATAATACAAATATATAGATATTGTAAAAGAATTAAAATTTACCATTTGAATATTGTATAAAGATAAACAATACTCCTTGTTCTATATATGTATTTAAAAGTTGTCTACCTTATATTGTACAGTAATTTAATCAGGTAATAAGAATTTAGCTATACTTCTGCGAACATCAGGGTGTAAAGCTTTTTTAAGTTCTTCTCTATCTAACCAACAGTGCTTTACATTGGGAGAAATATCTCCACTTATATATTTTGCTAAAAAGTAGAAAATTTTTGCTCCATTTCGGCCTTTCTCTTGTATATTTTTAGGATACTTATATTGATAAAATCCAATTGGCGCATTGCCATAAAATTGTACTTTGATGTTATTTCCGCACAATTCTTGTACAGTTCTATATGCAGTCTGAAGTGGTAGAAACAAATATTTTGTTGGTATTTACACAAAAAAGATTGTAAAACAAAAATAAAAGTCATGTAGTTCTTACTTGTATCATAGTTTCTCTATGTCTTCTTATACTTTGTGGAGGAATCCACAAATTAGAATTGCCAACTTTTTGTTCTACTAATAACATTAAATTTTTATCCAGCTTGCGTTTCAGTGATACAACTGCATTATCTTCTTCAACTTCTATAATTATAGAAGTTGAATGTAGAAGGTATTATAATTACCATTTAGAAAAATAAAATCATACATAGATACATACCACTTATTCTCGAAGCAAATTTAAAGTTTTTGAATTCTTCTTCCCAAGAATCTTCAATGTCTTGTATTGTTTCCTTAGAAATAATATTATCTGTTTTTCCAGCAGATGCTTGTATTCTCTGACTTTTGTCCTTTTGTTTTCGTATTTCAAAGTCTGATATCATACTGTTTTCATATTCTATCTGTTGTAGCATGTTTTGGTATCTTGCTTCTATATCTAGCATGGGTTTTGTAATTACTGGATGACGTTCTAAGCAAACAGCACTTAATAAATCCCATTTTTCTACAACGTCTATGTCTTCTTGCTCTGATAATGTTCGAGATATAACCTTAGATGTTGATGAGATACCTATGTCAAAGGTTTTCTTTAAAGGATGGCTTAATAAGATTGTACGACAATAAAATATATTCGATCAATTTATAAAAAACATTTTAAATAATAAATACAGCTATAACAAATTAAAATACATTAAAATTACCTGGTGTTAAAAAAGGTAAACCATTCGATGTGCGTAATGTTAAAATTCTTCTAAACATCATTATTCCATACTTTGAGAAAAGAAAAGTTAAAAGTATATTTTTTAATTAAAAAATAAAGATAAATAAATAACAAATAGTAGTAGAAACTTTCACAAAACTATATATATGTAGTAATGTTGCATTACCGGCAACTACGATTTTTAGATTATAAAGTAATTGATACAGTGATCACAATACCAGCTGATACTATAGCTATTATAACTTATGTCGCATTCTCATGATTTTCCTAATTTCATTGGCAATCTGATATTATTCAAAGGACTTTCTTGAACAAAAACAACACGGTACAAAAGCATAGAAATTAGAGATATACATAAGCATATCCCTATTCACAAAAGTCAAAGTTTGACATTTGTTTTAATATAGTGATAAAAATAAACAACATATATACATCAAGTGAATTCTTTCATGTTATTGTCATAACTTCTTCTTTGACTTGACTTGAGTACTATTTTATGAACACTATTACGCGATATGATATCAATCAATTTTACAATGTAACGTATGAAAAGAATTGATAAATATTACTGCATTTTACAATAAACTATCACCACAGAATCAAGAAGTAAGTTGTCCAGATTTACTTGAAACAAAAAATCCGCTTATTATCATTCTATTATTGTTATTATTCTTATTTTGATGACTCCTGATTCTTTATATAAACGACTATGAACGAATATCAGGCTTAAAAAATATAGTATTTTACCTAATATAATATTAATTATAATATATTATTAATATATATATTATGATTAATATTATAACGATAATATGAGCACTAGCTGATTTATTTACATGATTGACAATAACATAAATATTCTTTTCTCTTTTCACATGAAGTTGATGTTGATCTGGTATAAGTTGAATATATGTCTTAAAGGACGTATACAATCCATATCGTAAGGATTTTGAAATAAAAGACGAAAAATAAAAGCATAATTTACATAAAATAAAGATCATCATGATTGGACCAGATTTACCAGAAATACCACTACCTTTGAAAAATATACAGCAGTATCTAAAGATAGCATCACAGCATGACCAACGAGATCCTGTTGTTGGTTATTGGTGTATGTATTTAGTTTCAATTTAAATTGCGTATAAAGAATAATTACAAGTAAAAATCACTTTAAAAGCGGAATTATGAATTTTTGTCACAGGTCGGGTATATGCCTTCCAAACAGGATTCAAGTTATCAACCAAAACTTCAAAAGAAACAAATTTTTTAATGGAATTAATGGATTGGTTAGAAAAAACTAAAAAGAAATTACACGATAATGAAGCTATTACAAATGATGTAGCTGCCCAGGCTCATTTAGAGAATTGGGCATTGAAGCTATTTCTTTATGCAGATAAAAATGACAGAGCTGCTAATTTTGAAAAGAACGTAGTAAAAAGTTTTTTTACAGCTGGATTACTTTATGATGTATTAACTGTGTTTGGAGAGCTAACTGAAGAAGCTATACAAAATAGGAAATATGCCAAATGGAAGGCTGCATATATTCATAACTGCCTGAAGAATGGTGAAACACCAATTCCAGGACCCATGCAAGAGGGTAATGAGAATGATGATTTGAATAAAAATATGGAAGAAGGTAAAGAAAACTATAAATAATAGTATATACATATGCACTTTATATTCAGAAAAAATATGTACATATATAGATACATATGCATATGTATGTTTGCATATAATTATGTAATATATTTATTTCTTTGTGTAACAACAAAGGCTTATATTTTAATACCACAACAAAATTCTATCATTTTGCTCTGTTTCGTCTTTTTCATTACAGATTCACTAATAACAGAGGCAAAAGAAGATGATACATCAAACGCAGATGAATTAGTTGGTACCCGTAATACTAACCCGCCTGACGCAGTACATGGTACAACAATTAAAGACAATATCGACAAATGGTCTTCTGGCAATAAAGATTGCAAAACTCTTATGGAAACAGAAGGTATATTGAAAGAAAGTAATTCAATTAAATTGTATTGAAAGCTTCACGACTTCGCATGTCAGCCTTGCACAGGGGCCATGCTAATCTTCTTTGTATCATTCCAATTTTGGTACATATATGTACCGCTGAATCAAGTACCAATATTATGTTATTACGTATTTGCGCTTGTTAACTGTACATATTTAACAGGTGGAGTTGAATTGTCAGTGGAGCAAATTGGCAAAGCACAAAAATTTATTAAATGGGCTGGAAGTGCTTTAAATTACGACGATGTGCCTACAACTGTATTGAATCTTCGAAAGGCTTTACATCTCTTAACCACTGGTCAAGAACTTGAATGATCAAAACTAAGCTTGAAAATGTTGATGAAATGGATTATTTCATCTAATCTGATAAATGATAAATTTTATTGCTTCTAAACAATAAAGTAGATACGAATATTTATGATTTAATTAATGCAAAAGTAAAAATGATAAGTTATTTATTTGAATTGTTCACATTATTACAGCCACACCAAATTAAACATATTTTTGAAATATAAATTTGTTTTGTAGAGGCGTATAAAATCGATATTATTATTTAAACTTGTATTATTGTAATGATTGATATTGTAGTTTCAAATATACATATATGTATATATATATATATCGTCAAATTTTAATATCAGAACACAAATTATTATACATTAGTGAACCTATAAAGAAGATTTTCACATAAAAAAAAATAATTAAAAGTTCAGAATGGATCTTAGTAAAATGAGAATTACAATGAAATGAATTTCTTTTCTATTGTAGTCAAATGTCTAAACTGACTTAGTTTTGTGTGTGTCTGTGCGAGTGCGCGCACGCGCGCGCGTGTGGGTAAATGTGTGGGTGCGCCAGATTCATAAATGGTTTCTGTACCATTTCACGTAATTAATACTTTAATACTTTGTAATAAAAGTATTATTGTACATACAAGTGAGTGTGCTTTACCACGTGTTTCTTCGCTATTTTAATTTTCATATTACCTCGTAGGTATCTTTATTTAATTCAATTATCTCTGTCGATTGTAAATTTAATATTTTAAAAAACAAATACATTTTTTCTTATAAAAAAAAGAGATATCAGCAAACCATCTTTAAATAAAGAATTATACATCTTACGATAGTGGTTTAGTTTTAATCGCTGATAATAGGAAGTGCGTTCGTATTGCTTAAACTGTTTGTACGAGTAATTTTTAATTTGTACATTTTTAGTCGCTCTTGTGAAAATACATGTTTTTTTTCTTTAAAAAAAATAGTAAAAGTATGGATGCGAAGAAAACACGCATGTGCATTACACTGCAACGATATTCTTTTAGTTATCGTCTAAGGGCATTTACATCTTAATACGATATCAAGGAGAACACATTGATTCAATTGGCAGTTAATACCTTGTGCTTGAGCTAGTATTTCATGATTCTTTGCCGTTAATTAAATTCTTATAATGTTGACTAATAATGATAGAAATTTATAGCTCTCGAGGTACTCGAGATTTAGAATGCTTTGAACAAATTCGAGTGCTGTCAGCACGAAAAAGTAGCTCGTGATGAAACGTAATAGGATTGAAGCATAACTTTGAAAGAGAGCATTTGATATGAGACGTAAGAAACCATACACACAAAATTAATATCGCGGAGCATAAGGAATTAAAGATCGAACGAAATACTTCTTTGCTGCGTGTATGGAAAATTATTTCATCGTGATTATTACGTGGTACGTAGGCGATAACTGACTTGATAACCAAAGTCTTAATCGTGCGAATACATATAAGAATCTCGAATTCAATCTTGTTTTTTACTTTTATCATCTACACCATTCGCCGTTACCGGTTGCGTGTCCTCTCGTCTAAGTTGCCAATCTATTACTAGTCGGCCTGTTAGCATGAAAAAAAATACCTAAAAAGCAAATATATAGTTATATTTTTATAAGTATCTGTTCTGTTTAATATATCGATTTCTTTTATAAATTTTATTTTAATCTTACCAGTGCTGGTGCAATCCTTTCAAACTTGTCATTCACCATGTAGTGAGAGTACACAGCCATTAACATCAATAACAGTAATATCGCGTTCGATGCATTTTTTATTTTGTCTGAAAGAAATCGAGAAGAAAACAAAGCAGATAATACGTAGTTGAGGTAATGTTTCCAAGAGGAAAAGTTACCCTAATGCTAGCGTATGCAGCTAATTCGTGTATTTTAAAGGAAAGCGGAACGAAATATTATTTTAATTATATAAAAAAAAAAAAATGTTCTCTTACGACTTGGAACTATAGCCATTGCGAGTCCGCAAATAATTTCAAGCGATCCGACAACTCTTCTGTACCATTTACTTGGTACTTTAAAGTCCAGTGTACCGGACAGTGGAAATACCTTTGCGTATTTCACATATTCTTTCCTCTGTGAACATGATAAAAAAATCAACTAATTAATTCATGTAACGAACACAGAAATGGTGGTGGAGGAACGAGTCGGGTTGAGAAAAGAACGAAACGTTCTTATGAAGAAAATTGTCACAATTTCAACCTAGTAAACATATGCTGGCACTTGAAGCAATATTTTTGGCGCGTCACCAAGCGGTTGGTTGATAGTTTACTATAACTTTGGACATTGGGTAACAACGAGGGACGAAAATAATCTTCTAACGAGATTCATCGAAGTGAGCGAATTAAATTCAATTTTCATCACATTTCAAAAAAATTTCGGATACTCGAACTTTCACAATATTAATTTATTTTATCTCTTTATCAGGAATACAGAAGCGAAGGAAATTTAAATAACGATATGAAATAAACACTTATTAATAACGGGTATTTGACTAGATTTTTTAATAAAATCTGAAGCTCTTCCTTCGTCCCTCTTGTTTCGTTTCCGAATTTGTACACAAAAACTATTATAGATTCATATTTTTCCTTAATTTTCTTTGCTTATTTTTCATCGTATTTTCTGTTGAAAATTTTCTGTATTTTTGTTGAAATTTTAAAAAATTGTGTAAGAAACAGGAAATCAACAAAAATGGAAAGGATAAACAAATATCTATATAAAGAAACATAAAACGTGAAAAAAAGAGGAAAGATAAGAAATATTCGTAGATGTATAAAAACACATGTATTTCTTATTTGATACATAAAAATTGCAGAAACTAAACAGTCTATTGTTATATATTTTGGATATCTAAATAGAGAACGAAATATCAATTGTCATTAGAAAATAAAGAAGGAGTAAATGTTAAAAAGAACGGAGGGTATAGAAGGAATGATTGATAAAGTTGACAGGCTGTCATAACAACGCATAGTTAACACGCGGTGCGTCTAACAGACGAAGGCTAGACACACCAGAAGGAAAAAGGTGAAAATAAGAATGTTTTACATGATACAACGATCACTGAGAATAAAAATAACAAAGAGTGATATTTCAAAGACAAATGAAAAACAAAAATGAATGTTAGACGAGGGTGAAAAAAAGCCCGATTGAATGTCAATTGAACATGAGAGTAGGGTGAATTGTTACATAATTATAGAGCAACTGCTCACCAAGTCCTTATGAAGATCCTTACTAATATGAGAAGTCAGCTTCATAGTACCGACGAAAACGAAGAATATCCCAAGAAGAACTGAGAGAGACTTTAGGACGATCGAGCCCATAATTCGACAGCTGAACACCGTTAGCGACACGAACGTGTTAGACGTACGGAGGAATCGATTCGGAATCTAGACTGGACGAATGACTCGTAGCCGCGAATTCGTTACGCGCGACTCGTGCAATCTCGGTAAACTGTCTTTTTCTGTTTTTTCTTCTGTTTTTCCTTTTTTCTTTTTTTCCTTTTTATTTTTTTTCTTTTTTGCCTTTCTCCTATTTTTCTTTCAACTATACATACCTACAGAGTTTATAAATACATTCGTTCAACGATAGTGTTTCAAACAATTATTCGAGTCGTACTTAGTACTAATTAGATACTATGTATGTACACGATATAGTAGCAATGTTCATACTTGTTCTTTTCTTTCTCTTTCGGTTTGATTTGGCCTATTCCGACTGCGACAGCGCATAACGTGTGCGATACTAGGACGCAGTGCGTCGTGTCGCGTCGCGTCTCGCCGTATCGTATCGCGACCCACTGCGTCGCCGTTACCCTCTTTCTTACAATGTAATTGGTGGTGGTCTTTCTAGAGACACGTCGTATAATCGTCATAGGCTATTGTAATTTTAACTAGTACCTCTCGTGCCTTTATAATATGCAATCTCTGTTGTCTTTTCACAGATCCCAATTACAGTTTGAGCAGGGTGCAATGACACGAATTAGAATAACGAAACGTATTCTTTTGATAAAATAGATAAAATATCGTACGATTTATCGACGAAAGAAACCAGTGTTGCATATATTTTCTCTCGCTAGTCTTCGCTAATCTCGCTAGTGTGACAGTCTATCGCTCTGAATTTTGCAAATGCATCAATTCGTATTATCGAATTTGTAAATTACATTGAAAAATCAAAGGTAAAAGGCAATTTGATTGAAATTTATTTTAATTAACACTGTTCGACAAAAAATCCTATGCTTTACATTAGAATGTACATCAGTATATCGTAAAAATATAAAACACCCATTTAGAAGCGAAAATTGTTATTTCATGTACATTATATTTTTTATGTATTATTTACAAAAGTTTATATAGCATTCTCTCTGATAATAATGACGCTACTTTTGTGTATTGATTAATTTTTTGTAAATGTAAACATTTCGAGTAATCGCATTGTGTATTTCTATTTTGAAAGAATCACATTCCTCAATATATGAATATACTGTTCAACTCATTATTAATATTATCATCATAATGGTAAGAATAATAAATGAGTAATAATGATCAATGCTCATTAACATTATCATTATTACTTTTGAATATTACTGCTGTTATTATTATTTATTTGTAGCTTTAATGATTGATCAACTCGTGTTTGCCATACCATGGCCATTTGTTTTTACAATATTTGTAATGGATAAATCGACACTATGATTATGTTTGTTATTTATGAGAACAGTCATGTTTGCATTACTGTTTGCTAAACAAACTGGCTTCTTGCGACGCGCGAACACAACAATCTTCCCTTGAACATTCATCGACGAAATTTTCGTGCTTCTGTCGTCGTTTGTACCTTTTATTAATGGTTTTTTACATTCCTTTAATTCTATCTCTTCTGTTTTTCCTGCATATTTACTACATTCTCTTTCTCGCGTTATTCCCGTTATAACATTTATATTTTCACACTCGTCTTTCATTATCTTCGTCACATCTTTGGAACTATTTCGATTAATCTTGCCTTCATCACGATTATTGGAATTATCGTAATTATTCCTAATATCATCATTGGTAAGATCAGCGGTACTCATTCTAGTATCATTATTTTGTTGCTTGAATTCCGTCCCTTTAGACGTTTCGGAAATAACAGAGTTTTTTATTAGGCTGTTCTCCAAAAATTTATCCTGAGCTTTTGACTGATCCGATGTTTGTTCCATTTTGTCGTTTGACGAACAATTATTTTTCGTTAATTCAGAGGAATTTAATTCAATGCTGTCATTTTTTTGTAGTATGACACAATCTTCTTTTGCATCTTTCAAAGAGGTCATTTGCTCTGCAGTATAGACATCCTTGGCGACATTGTTTTCGTTTGACGTGACGGCATCGATAAAGTTTTTATCCGTTTGATGATTTTCACTGAACGAAATAATTTTTTTTGGTGAAGCATTTAGCGCATCTGTTTGTTCTTCCTTTTTCGTTGATTTTAATTGCGAGTCATTGGAAATGTGAATGGTATTCGACGCTCCCGATATGTTCTCCAGCATTTTATCGCACGTGGATGCATAATCGCGAATAAATTTTTCAATGTTCTCCACGTTTTCTACACTTTCAATACTCTCTTTACTTTTGTGACTTTCGTTGTCTGGAATACATGTGATGTTGGTATCTGAGATTGGAATTGTTTGTAAAGTATCGGAAGGTATTTTTAATTTCTCCGCCGTTTCATTTCTCACAGTATTGTATATCGAATTCTTTATCGACGTATTATTTACCGTGGAAGGAAGATCTTCCGGTAGTTCTTTACCGGTATCTTGCCGATCCTTCGATCCTTCGCATTTATCGTCCGCATCTTTAAGTGGACTATTATTTGAACTATTTGAACTATTTGAAATTTCACCATCTTCCAAATCTATGAATGAATTTTTTAATTCTTCTTTGGCATATTTCCGTAATTCATCGTCAATTCCCAACTCATTTCCTGTTTGTGTAATTTCAACATCTTTTCTATTAATTCCTCTTGAAACTTGAGAATATTTTGGATGCTCGATCAAATTTTCTGCATTGATCTTACGATATGAACATTTGCTATGTTCATCGTGTTTATCTTCATCGTATCGTTTAATCGATTTATCAACATTCTTTAGCCGTATTTTTCGTGACTCGTGTTCGTTGTAATAATTTTGAGTTTTTTTTATATCATCCAATTTCTGACTCGCTGAAATTCGATCAACAGTAGAATGCTTCGTTCCGCGGACATTGCTGGAATCTTTCTTAGAGATTTTGGACTTGTCTGTCGCACCGGTGCTTCGAAAATTATAACGTTTCTCAAACTTCTCATCGTAAATGCTTTGCTTGCTATATTGATTTCTTCCGTATTTGTCTTCCCGGTTTGACTTTGTATACGGTGTTGATCTCACACGTGATCGATGATCATCCATGCGATAATATTCTCTTTGCTTATCTCTATGACTACGATGTTCACTATGATTGGATCGATAATTGTCTCTGTCAAAAATCTCGGTACAACGATAACTTATTTCTTTTTTATCTAAAATAGACGTTGCACTTTGGGCAGGCTTGCTGCGTCGTTTTGAGGAATGTTCATTAATATTTCTTCTATCACATAATAGGTTCCTCTTATCTTTCGTATCTTTTTTCTCGTCTTCTCTATTTGCATCGTCAACCAAATATCCATGTTTCTTTAGATCTGTGTTCGAATTGCGAGTGTATTCTAAACTTTTTATGTTATGCTCTTTTTCTTTAGAATGAGTGGAGTTGGTATACAGAAGGAGCATGGATTTCTCCTTAGATTCAGAGATGTTATCTATTTCTTTTTTTGTTGTTTCAAAGCAATGTTCTACTTCATTAGATTTTATTCGTTTCACATGAGCGTGCCTGCTTGTTTCTTCACTTGCTCTCTTCCCTGTATGAGTTGTACTATTGGTAAATATTGGCTTTCGCTGAAATATAGAACTCATCTCGTTTTTATTGTTTGATTGAAGATCTTTTATTGTACTTCTTGAGTCTGTTAAAGGACTTTTTACATGTTCGCCTCCTTTATATTGCGTAATTGCAGAAGACTGAATTTCTTTTATATTACAATAGTTAATGTCGCTTAAGAAACCATTTTCTTTGTCACTTTCAACTACATATCCTTTACTGGTTTTATTATCATTATCACTGCTACTTAACTTATTCGATTGTTTATCTTTCTTTTCTAAATTCTGTTCATCTATCATCCTTTTTAGCAGTCGTTCACCAAAGACAGTGATCGGAACTAAGGTAGACTTATTTTGTTGATCCTTGCTTTGACTATATAAACTGTCTGCTACCAACGTTTCATTACCATTTTCATCAGCAGGAAAACAAATATCAGTTGGTTTGTGATATATATTTACTACAGTTTCACAAACATTAGATTTATGATTGACACTGTCATTTGTTTTAGAATACGTGTTTCTTCTGAATGTTATATCATCTAATCTGTAATAATTATATCATGTAGAATATATTTTTAAAATGTTAGGAAATTATTAGTTAAATCTACTCACTTTTTTCTTAACTCATCTATCATCTTATCCTTCCGTGCAATTTCTGCTTTTGCAGTTTTCAATAATGAGAATAAATTACTTTCCAAATTTTTATTAACCTTTTGAAAATTCTCTAATTTTGTTGTGAGTTCTGCAATCTGTTTTTTCAAATTTACTTGTTCCTCCACAATATTTTCTCCGTTATTTGACACAAACTGAAATAGTATAATATATAAAATTTGTTGTTTATATTCACCGTACTTTATACGATATAAGAATAATAACGTATAACTTAACCTAACCATAAAGTGCAACCAGGTTATATTTTGTAATACTTACGTTTTGATGGAACTCTGTTCCAAAATCTGGCAAATCTTCATAAATATCGATATCATCCTCCATGCTTTTTACTGATTTCTATAATAAAAATTTTGATTGAAAACACATATTCTATTATTGATATAATTTCTCCATTTTTATCAGTCACGTCACGAGGTGGATCTTACATATACATGTATTTAGTGTGATGTCCACTGAAGGACACGTATCTCATCTGTATCTTCCTATATTTCTTGATCATTGTGAGATATGTTAGTGTCGACATTAGCGAATAGTGAACAGTAAACTTCAACTAATACCGTCTTAATATCTGTTTTTCAGCACGATCAGTGCATATAAAAGTTATAAAACATGATCGAAGATGAATCGAACCAATAAAACGTAAAATACATTTGCAATATTTACATCTGTTGTTGCGTTATTCATTTGTTGTTATATGATTTATTAAATACTATGATATCGACCAAATTACAATGTTTTCTAATATTAAAATATTGTAGTTTCACACAATTATTTTATATTCTCATTGTCAATAGACAAAAACGATTTTGTGAAACAATTATTAAGTGCAAAGTTACAACCATGGGAAATTTGAAAAATAGCTAATTAAAAAGCTATTTGGGATGTCTTATAAGATTTGTTACGTTGAATTTCATCTCAATATATCTTTTATAATGGATTTTATTTGATAAAAACTTGTACTCTAGTTTATGTGTAAAATATTAACATTATGGATTTATCATTGTTCATACCAATTCATACGTTCAAAGAAACACGATAAAGCGACACCTGTTGGTATTTATGATTATAGTTGAACTGTTAAAGGTTTTAGACACAGAAGTTCAAGTGTGAGTTTAATTGTGGAGTAGGTCTTTTTATTCTTTCCTATTTCTTTGTCATTTTTTATCCGTGAATTGTTAAGTGTTACGTTCTTCAAATGCATTTTGTTATGCAGTTTTTGATACGTTTTCACGTATGTACTTACTTGTCTATATATGATTCTTTACTGGTATTGAATATCAGTTCTTCATTTGAAATTTTTATTAATTACAACGTTCTGTTCAGTGACGATTGATCATTTGTTTAAGTCGCAAGTCAGCAGAGGGCACCGATAATAATAAGATTTTTGTGCAACTGATTATGGAGAAAATTGTGAAGAATACCAATAAAATCACTATATAAAGGTCAGTCAGTGAGAGAGGTTAAAGTAAGTAAAATAATGAAGTGGACAAATGATCATTCACGACAAACAAAAATATTACCTACATTGCCTATAAACGCAAGTTAGTAAAAAAGATCTCTAAGAAACAAATTTTGATGAAAAGCTTAGTTAAACATCGATACACGCAAGATAATAATATATATATGTATAATGAAAAATAAACAAAAGTTATCGCGCAAGCATATTCCACATGTTAATCAGCGGTTCTTCGACGGCATCTTATCATGCACGATAACAATAGACCGGGTGGACTAATAATATTTAACAGTATATATACATACGTACACATAAGTAAATTCATCGTACTTTTGCGGGAAAAGTTACTAAAGAAATAGAGTTCGAGTATCGACAAATTGAAAAATATACACGTGTACACGTTATACACGTATGTATTGAGCAATTGGATATATGTATTTTTAAGATGAAGAAAGCAACAGAAATGTTTCTAATTTTGAAAGTTCCTAATTCATTATTTAAAACCAAAGTTTAGTCTTCACGATTGACATGTAAGTTGCCAACGCGATGTTAATGCACGTTGATCTGGCCTCGAGTCCCGAGATAATTGCATAATATGTATATATGCGCATGTACTTAGATTTGTACGTAATACGCACGCGTTTACTTGATTATCTTTGATAAAGTTGTCACTTCCAAGTGTTTACGTGTTTATGCTTTAATTCATTTTGCTATTAAATTAATATTTTGAGATTTATATCGATTATGTATTCGCATTCTGGCATCCATATAAATGACACGCATGTATATATAACAACATTAAAGCTTGAGACATGTTACATGTTTACCAAATCAGATGTATAGATCACGATCAAGATTAGCAAAATCAAATTACCCATGATGCGGAGAGATCAAGAATACAAGGAATGTTATAAGTGATAAAAAAATATTTCGTTTTACAGAGAAAGAAAAAGACTATGCAGAGAGGTAGAAAGTATGTTTTCACAGCAAAATCTTTTGTCTTGTTCGAACTAATATTTTTTCAAAAATATTTTTCTTTGATTCCGTCTCCTTTGAATCGTGATATAAAAGTACAAACGATATATGAAACCGAGGATGAAAAATTCTTTTAGTTACATACATATATTACAAACTATCCTTGTTAGAGTTACATTTGTCATTTGAAAATATAAATAACCGTAATTACTGAAAACGTTTATATCTTTGCATAAAGATTGTATTACAGTCCGTAGTTAAACAATTATGAATAATTCGTGATGTTTAGTGTAATCGAAATCGTTGCATATAGTATGTATTATAATAAGTTTAAGCGATAAATATAAATAAAAAACAAAATAAGAAAATATGTAGGAAGAATTTTCATATATCGTAATAACTATGTAAGACAAGTCTGCTATAGCTTTTATAGACCTTTCTCAAGCTCATCCTTTAGATGCAAGCTTTGAAAAGACTTCTTTTTAAACGTTTCTAAATGGTTGCTTCAATAATAAAGAGGACCCAAGATAGCTACTGCGACACGCTGATAGTATGTTCTCTACATATTTACGTATATACAATCCTGTTTCTTCAATGCTTTTTATACTATGTAACACTACATTATAATTATAATTTGTTTTCTTTGCTTTTTGTTATAATATCCAAGTGGTTACGAATATATGTTCATATATGCATAAATACGCACGCACGCGCATAAATAATAAAATATATTTGTTAGAAATTTGGAAGAGAAGAATAAAACTAGAAGATTTTAAAGAAAAACTAAAGACAGAAATGTGTGCATACGTATTCATTTGGTACATTCATGTGAACGGAATAAGCAGGAAACGGTTAGTTGAGGGTAATAAACAGACCGTTTAAGCATCCATTTTCAACAAAGCTTTGGCAACTTGATGGCGCAATGAAGTTAGTTACGCGATTAGCAGCTTTCACGTATTAGCTTTCATATGTTATCATCTACTATGCAAACAAAAGTCTAAACTTAAAAACCTGAAATTTCACGTATTTATTTGCGAACTCGCAGTTTATGAGTGTTTATTTGTTTTGGGAGCTAGTAATATCTGTCGTTTACTTTTCATATAACCTTAAGGAAATTCGTTTCTATCGAAATCATACAAAGTTATTCTCATTGTTTTTTCTTATTTCTATCTGTTTGGTGTGTAGTCGTGTAACACATAATGGTGTTACCGACGAAGCCGTATAATGAAAATTAGATTCGTTTCATTAGCAAGTTCATACATAAGTAAAATATTTCATGCACTGGAAGGAAGCTATTCAACATTTAATACAATTTATATACAACAAGTTAAATATATAAAATATTTATTGAAACAAATATTTCTTCGGTCAGATCAATAATTTTGATCTTTAATTATAAAATCACTTTATTGTGTCGCATCTTTTTGTATTTTTTCACACGCTGAAAGTGCAGTATGTATAAATATAGTATGAAAGATAAAAAAAGAATAAAATAGAAGAAAGTAGAAGAAATATAGACAAGACGGAACAAAACAGAACAGTACGGAACGGAAGGAAACGAAACAAGATAGAATGAAATAGAACGGAATAGGACTGAACAGAACGAAACGAAACGGAATGGAACGGAACGAAGCGGTACTGGTATGAATCGGACCAGATCGGAGCAAGCTGTATTATGGCATGGTAGTGAGGTAGTAAAAAGCGTGGCGGGATAGGAAGAATAGTAGGGGTAGAAATGGATTGGAAGAGGAGGGATAGGTAGAAAAGGATGTAAGCAATTTGTCAGTGATGGAAACGGTATAGCAAGAGGAGGTATATGTAATGTTTTCCCCCTCTTAAGATACTGTTGAGGCCCAAGCTATCCGAGTCCACTCGTGTCGGTCAGTTCGTTAGTAATTACGCGGCAAGAGATAAGTTTGGGTAGGCGCGTAGCATTCGGTGTTGTGTAAAATAAAAAAGCTTTGGGTGTGGCGTTTGTTTTTATAGTATTTAGTGGAAAGTTATTGGCAATTTAACTCATTGAACATTATTATCTACTTATTCGTTGCAATAAAAAAAAATGTGGAATTCACAAGTTGGATGATACTTGTATATATCACGAAAGTGTTTTTCCCGCTAACGGGCTGGATTATACGAGTATTAAGCTCATCGTTGAACTGCTTATACTTAATTGGAAACATTTTTTGGGAGATAGAAAAATGCTTGATATTAGACAGGTTTTTATAAACAAATTTTTACGGTTTCGATTGGATTTGTCTACAATAACAGTTTATATGAATGCGATGAACAACAGGAAGTTTCGCATAAGTTATAAGGAATGACTACTACTCCTTTAGATTTAAAAAAAATTTGTATATTTGGAAATTTCCTAAGATTAACTCTAGATCAAGAAGATTTTCATCTTCTTTATCTCCTTTATCTTTTTTTCCTTTGAAGTGTTTGGCTTTATTTGGATAGTCGTTCATCTTTCTTGTACTTTGTATTTCGCTTGACTGTATTAGAAGAATGACAGTCTCAGAAGAGTAAGTACGATGACACATCAGTCTCCTACCTTTCTCCACTTTTCATTTTTCCTGTGTTTCAATTGTATTTGTTATACCGAGCATTTCTCAAGTATTTTTTCGTATAATTCTTTATTAGTAGTTTATAATAGACTAATTTAATTATTTTCTAGTTTTAAATGTTATGTTGTTTCAATCGTTTATTATACGTATGTAACGTGCGAAAATGCGAGCAATGTGGGAAAACACCTGTTTTTGAATCGTATAACGAGCTGTTGCGAATTTGAATTTGCACAAAGCAAAAAAGAAAAGATATAGTTTTTTACGTAGTTGACGAAACGTAGATTGTTTTACGTGGCATTTTTCTTTCCATTCTTCACATTGTATATGCAAATATTTATTTGTATGTGAGAACGTTGTATCCGATACTGCATACGAGATTATGTATATGTGAACGTGAACATGCCGTGTACTGGCATACTTATGTGTATGCGAACACCGTACATGCGTGAGACAGAGGGGAGAGAGCGCATAATGAAATCACATAGCGCGGTATAGGCGTGTTCTTGGATTAAAAGTTTGACGATAGCTGAGCGATTGAAAGTGGGTAGGTGATATAGAGAAAAAGAGCATCAAAGAAATGACAGAATGATGCAAAGTGCAACGTGCGTGAGGAGGGTACTCGAGCGTGTTCGAGAATTACTCGAGCGCGCTTTTAAGGTTTTAAGATCGAATGCACACTCGGTCGAAGGAGATTGGAATGCGTGGTATGCGACTTGTTCGTTGGACGTGTTTCACTCCGAGTTAAACCGATTGTATTCGAACATTACCGAGAATGTCCGAGTCGAGACGACCCCAACCGATTCAAACCGACTCTTTTCTTGCCGATTGTGACAAAACTTGTTTCGCTTTGTTACTCTATTGCTATTTCTCGGATACATCGCGAGCTTGATCTTGCTTCATTTTTGAGGATTATGTATGTTTTTTTAAAAGTTGTCCCCTACTGTATGTGTTAGGCATTCTCAAAAAGCAACATCGTGCGTAGAAAATATTTCTGTTCGGTAAGCTCTGTTCTTTTCAAGGAGACAAGAAACCTTCTATATTGCCTCCTATAATTTTACATGTACACATATGTTTAATATATCAGAGATAAACGCTGGTTTAAGAATATGCTTGTTAGTGGCATTTGTCTGTTTTTCAATATTTCGATTGGTAATCTAATTTGATCGAACCGCTTCCGTCGATGACGACCACTTGGAGTGTATCGCGATGCAATGGGAACACATTTGTGTAACGGTGTAATCTTTTTATTTGTAAGCGATAGGTATATCCCGTTTGTTATCTTATATACTCGATCGATTGAAATTCGATCTAATAGCAATTATTCGAAAATCGATCCGAACAGTATGTAGATGGTGATAAGCTTTTACTTGAGAAAATGATTGTCAGAGAAGTTAATTGGCGCGTAACAAACCAATACAATTGAAACGAGTATATTTGTCCGGTATGTTTAAGCTGATAGAGTAAAATATACGCGACTTGATGAAAGGCATATAAAGCGGCATTGATGAAAAATCAACAAAAATTTGGTAAAAGAATATTAATCTTTATTCTCGTTCCTTTGGGTGGATTTTAGAATGGCCACGGAACTGGCAAACAAGAAGGCCGAGCGCGAAGCTCTGCGTGGTGTTATTCAGCAATGGAATGCCAACAGGTTGGATCTGTTTGAGCTTTCAGAACCGAACGAGGTGAATTATTCCGCTTACTGCACCTGATTCTTTCTTTTATTCAAGAGATTTAATTTGATCGCCACGTTCGACAATAGCGATATACTCAATGTTTATTTGTACTTTTCAGGATTTAGAATTCCATGGAGTAATGAGATTTTATTTCCAAGATAGCGGTCAAAAGGTCGCAACAAAATGTATTAGAGTAGCGTCGGATGCGACGAGTCAAGCGGTCATCGAAACGCTTATTGAAAAATTCCGTCCAGATATGCGAATGCTTTCGGTTCCTGAATACGCACTTTACGAAATTCACGAAAATGGTGGTAAATATAATAGTAATAGAGGTTGTTAGCAGTTAAAGTATATATTGACATAGCAATTAGTCATGATGTTATCCTCCTTGTCTCTTCTTCTCCTTTTTCTTCTTCTTCTTCTTTTTCATTATTTACAGAAGAACGTAAGCTTGGGCTTGAAGAAAAGCCATTGTTAGTGCAATTAAATTGGCACATCGATGACCGTGAGGGACGCTTTTTGTTAAGAAGAATCGATGACAAAACCAACGCTCAAGGTGTTGGTTTCTCTTCTTCGGATGGGTCTAGTTTTCGCAGAAAGTTGAGTAAACGCGAGAAGAAACAGATGAAGAAACAGGAAAAGCTGAGTCGTTTAAAGAGTTTAGAACAAGATGAAAATACTATACCCGTCGATCAAAATGGAGTAGCTGAAAAACTTTACACGGGTGAGCGGATAACAAACTTCTTATTGTCGATATATCAAGCGAGTTATACATATAGTAAGACTATTTGGATGTTATTGATGATATTGATACAACATGGCCATTTCTAATCTGGCTGTGTTTCAATGTATATATCGTATGGTACAACACAATAATGTTCCCATTTTAGAGTTACCTGAAACAAGCTTTACCAGAAGTATTTCAAACCCGGAAGCTGTGATGAGAAGACGACGTCAACAAAAATTGGAGAGAAAATTGCAACAATTTCGTAGTAAAGATGGCGGTCCCGATACTGGCGGAACGCTGAAAATTTACGGCGAGGCGCTATGCAAAGACGTTCCATATAAAACATTGCTTTTAAGCGTCCGAGATTCAGCAGTTCAAGTCGTACGAGAAATGCTTTCTAAATATGGTTTAGAGAAGGTGGATCCACAGCAGTATTGTCTCGTACAGGTCAGCTAAATATTTCTTTTACTTTCCACATCTTTTCGTCTGTATAAGAAGTTTATAGCGTATATATACAATAGAATGCTACGGAATTATCATTTATAATATCATGTGCTACGTGGAATGTCGAACAATTTATATACATGTATATTTTTCAATATTTCGTTTTTCAATGTTTCGTTTCGTATGTTACAGGTAAATAGTGAAAATAATATTAATGGAGGAACACAGCAGGAGTATATACTAGACGATGACGAATGCCCTCTAGCCATTCTTATGAATCATCCTTCTACACGTGGTAAGTGTAGTTAGAGCTTTTAATAGGAATAATCCTATTTATATATTATTACAATTTTAATCGTGAAAAAAGGATAATTTACACTTATATCTGAGTCAGAAGGTGTAAGTGGGGAAAAAAAGTAGACGTGGTTCAAGAATTCATAGATATAGATAGGTACGAATAAAACAAAAATTGATAGAACTCAAATTACAAGATATAGAAGCTCAGGATGGACAAATTTTAAGAATTATCAACAATTTTACATAGCGTTGATGTAACAGCATAGTCGTATTCAGATTCCTCAGTTCACATTATGTCCTGCCGTGCCGTGTCGTGCTCTGTCGTGTATTCTAGTGTACTACAGTGTATACACTATGTCGATAGATATAATAAGTTGTGGCGTGCGCGTGCTTGTCGAGACCAAAGAACCGCCCACCAACCCTTGTTTCTGGCTGCAATGCTTAAATTCAGTCGCGCAATATTGTGACGTAATTTAATGTTACTTCTGTTAGCAGTCGTGGTATCAACTTTTATACTGCAAACAAATTTTAAAATTTTAAAAATATAAAAAAAGGATTTTCCTTTATCTCTTCGTTTATTCGAAATGTTTGAAGTTCCATGCAGTAATCTGGATAAAACAATATTCTAAGTTTTCGATACACAATACGTCGTTGAATAGTGAACAAATATTACAAGTTATCGAGTGACGTGTCGAATGATAAACATTAAAGCGTTAAGTAAAAAACTGGTATTGTTCTTTCTTCTATTAATCAGCCAATTTAAAAATTCGGTATTTTTTCTCTACTCTTCTTTCTCGCGCAATCTTGGGCAAAATAGAAAAAATTTGTTAAATTTAGAATATGCAAAAAAAATCGTTGGAAAAAAATAGGGAGAAAATACAATCTGTGTCTCAATTTTCTTTATAATATAAAGTTGGCCATATATTTTCTTTAATTTTAATTATAAAAGAAAAAAATGTGAAATATAGAGGACCAAAATTGAAGTGATCGATCGAAGAAGGGACCACAGACGCGTGCGCACACGCATACATATATTCAGGGACCAAGTTAAGGAAATCGACGAATTTTATACACGATGATGGATTGGGGAATTAGACGTAAGAATCTTTAAAGTTATTCTGTCGATAACTAGTAATGATTTCTTGGTTGTTAATATTTTTCGATTGATACATTTGTAACGTAAATACGTTCACGAATTGCAATTGTGATATATATTATTCAGGGATAGAAATAGTTTCTATGTATAATGCCGATAAAGCTTTTTATCAATAAGTTTTCGTATCTGTATATTATTGTATACATATTAATTAATTATAGTAGGAATAATCTACAGTTTAATACATGTTCAAGAAGGTGGAAGATTGCTTGTCTTTCTATAGGTTGTAATATTCTTCTGATACGAACTCTATAATGGAGAACAGAATCGAAGAGAAATTTGAAAATATAAATTTCAATCGAGTATTGTTAAAAGTATAGGTTATTATATGGCTGTATATTTTCGGTTCGATCGATGGTTTCACATTGGTAATGGGTATAGATCGTTCAAAATAACGAAGTGAGAAGGTGTGGTTGTAACAGTGAACATAGACTATGTAGGTCAGTTGGACACGCAAAGGGTATAAAATGTGACACAAGACTGTATGTATATCTGTGATACCAGAATGATATCTGTAACATTACGTACTTATTATCATATGTATTAAAAATCCGCTAAATGGAACTTTCATGGGCATATACAAAGTTCAAAAGATACATTGGCACTTTAGATGGTTTTTCAGAGATTTCACAGATTTCACTCTAAATTTCCAAGTAAAATAATTTATATCTTTAATTCTATGGCCATATAAGACATGCAAAGATTATATTGTAGTAGAAGAAACAGAGTAAAGCGAAATAAAGGGATGACTATTCCTTTCGTTACCGTTCTATTATTCGAATCATGTCATGATATCCCTAAATTAAAATGTCGAAATACATATTAATGATAAATCACATAGAGATAAATAGAGAGTGATGTAGGTTATTCTTTATATGAAAATAATATAGTCTTGGCAACCTACGTAGATTAAGAATAGATGTTTTATAAACAAAATGTGTTTTGCATTATTTACAGGTTCAATTATGTTTCATGTGCGAAGAAGACCTTCAGATTATGTGCCTCGGAAACGGAAGAAAAAACCTAGTGGCAAATGGAACGAATTAGATTACAGGTTTGTTGGAATGATAAAATTATAGCGGAAGAGTTCGTTCTAGGAAAAAAGAGTGCATCTAATTCTCGTTGTTTTTGATCAAAAGGAAAATATATTAAATTTATACGGGGGATTGGCTATACTGATGACCAATTGTAACTTACAACGGGAAACTTATAATTTGAGAAATATTAATGGAACCAATGATGGACCATGGGAGGCAATCGTTACAACATGTAATACGCATGGTTTGATTCGCAGATACGAAGACGAAAGATTGCCCTTTTCGCTAGAATTGAATCCTGACGGTAGCGAAATTCCAAACGGAGCTGGTGTGCGGCATCGGTTGCAGCCAAATGTAACGGAGGTGGGCTCGGAAAGGCCGATACCTATCCATCCATCTAGTCCGAGCAAGTCTACATCTGTCCCTGCTGCTGCTGTTGCTACTGTTTGCCATACTCGAAGCCCGACACATGCACCGGAATCAACGCACAATTATGAAACAACCTTTGATCTCGATGGAAATGTAGAAACTGCCAGTCTTACCAGTAGCAGGGATGGTAACAGGTAATATTTAATAGCTTTTTCTGTTTCACCGAAAGAATTCACGTTTACGTTATTACATTTTTATAATGAACGGATTGTTTGATCTAACAAGGAAATGTAGAGTGATTAAGTCACGACATGCATCTCGAAATATAAAATCCGAAATACGAATATGTTTTCTATATGAAAAACACAGTTGTATAAACAACTAACGTAAACAGATAAACATACACATAAGGATAAATTATCCAACGGTTGAGAAGACAAATTCAATCATAGCATTCCGGAGAACAACGTTGAATGATATCGAATTTTTCTGTTGTTTCGAACAGAACGTTGCAGAATGATCGACAGCCACGTGGGACGGATCCGATTTTACCAGCTGTATTAGAATTTCTCGAGGAAACGGAAGAAACATTTTTTCATGCGGTAATCACAGACGTTGAACCATCGGCGCCGCAGTTCAAATTGGCTCCAACGTATACGCTTTACTTGGCAGCAAGATATCGTGCAAGCACACATTATAGACCAGAATTGCAACCAACGGAGAGAGCTCATAGATTGACCGTGATGTTAGCAAATGTCGCTAGCATGATTCAACGAGTAATACAGGTAAATTAATGAAGAATTACATAATGCTTCGATAACCTAACTCGAGATGATCTATTGAACAATTGAATCAGTACAAGTACAATCAGTACGGTAGATTGTGATGGTGAGGATATAAATATTACTGTTGTTATTTAATACATCATTCTATTCCATATCATTGTCATAGGAACGGTATATGGATGCGTCCTCGTTGGCACTGTGGTTAGCAAACGGTTCAGAACTACTACATATGTTGAAAAACGATCGGCACGTAGGTGCGTTTTCAACCAGGGCACAAGATATTTTGACGGAAGCAGTTCATACAGCATTCGCGTCATTGGTTAGGTGCATTTCCTTGGAACTAGCACCGGCAATGTCACAGTTCATGGCAGATGCAGACGAACCTGCCAAAGAAGCCGGCGTTCTTCAAATATTTTCGAGCACGATGGCTTTACTTAGGCGATGCAGAGTAAACGCTGCACTTACCATTCAACTATTTAGTCACCTGTTTCACACAATAAACGCGACCGCGTTTAACGCTTTAGTTTCAAATGCCAACTTGTGCGTTAGATGGTTCGGTCGTAGATTAAAGGCAAGACTAAACGCTCTGGAAACTTGGGCTGAAAGGCAAGGCTTGGAACTCGCGAGTCAATGTCATTTGGCAACCATCATGCAAGCGACTCATCTTCTACAAGCTCCAAAATACAATGCGGAGGAACTTGCTACCTTGAGCTCTACGTGCTTCAAGTTGAATTCTCTTCAGGTCAGAGCATTGTTGCAAAAATATCAACCAGCTGCGGATGAACCAAGACTTCCTGCGGAATTGATCGAAAACGTAGTCAGAGTGAGTTGATATGTATACTTATGTAATAATACATAAAAAGGATAAAGGTGGAAACATGGTAGGATTTCCAGTATATTTATAAGTAATGCGTTATCATATTAAATTCCAGGTAGCCGAAAGCGTGGCTGATACGCTCGCACGTGCTGATGGCAGAGAGATTCGACTCGAAGAAGAGCCTACGCTCGCTTTGGCGCTTCTACTTCCGGAGGATGGATACAGTTGCGAAGTTATTCGTGGTGTACCTCCAGGATTAGCTGAATTTTTAGCGCCATTGCAACGAGATGGTCTATGCCGTATGGCACCACAACCCACCAGTAGTGGATATTGGACTATATACATGATAGATCACCACAATAATGTAATTTGTTTTCTTTTTCCTCTCTTTTTTCCTTGTTCCCGTCTCCTTCCTCCTTCTTTTTCCCCCTTGTTCTGCTTCCTACCACGGCTAGCAATGATGATACTTGAACGATAATTAAGATCTTAATTACCAATAATATTTAATAGTTTCGCAGTCCAAGCGCAATGAGCAATAGATCTGGAGGTTATTCCTGTCATACAGGGCCGAGTGGTGCTCAGCCTGAGATACATGTAATAAAATTACACAAGTCTACCAATGGAATGGGTTTGAGCATTGTCGCAGCAAAGGTATGTGTTATTGTATTATATGTATTATATTTACATGTAATTATATATTTTAAATCTTATCAAATACCTTGTTATCGCCAATAGAATATACATTTGGTTGCGATATGTTGCAGGGCGCCGGTCAGGATAGGCTCGGGATATATATAAAGAGCGTGGTTGCTGGTGGTGCTGCTGATGCTGTAAGTAAATCTCCATGTAGTACATAGAGGCAAGAAGAAAATTTACATTCGACCACAAATAATTATTAATAATTATTCTATCATTAGTAAAATCTATCGTTTATGTCCATATGTAAATCTCTATTGTTAATTTTGACATATATATACTACGTAGTTTAAACGAATACGCGAATTAACATCTAATCGCATCTTTTTTACACAATATTAAAATATATACATACATATGCAGGACGGCAGATTGACAGCTGGAGACCAATTGCTAAAAGTGGACGGACAAAGTTTAGTAGGAATTACTCAGGAAAAGTAAGTAATGTATAGGTTGTGCTAAAGATTGTGTAATGGTTGTAGAACTATTTTAGGAGAAGTTATCCATATTAATTCTTTCTATGGTTGGGCTTATAATAGCATTGACTTTGCTCTTTCGTAGAGCTGCTGAATATTTAGTACGTACCGGACCAGTAGTAACATTGGAAGTTGCTAAACAAGGTGCCATATATCATGGTTTGGCCACTTTATTATCACAACCATCACCAGTAATGACCAGAGGTACGTATGTTGTTCGTTCGAAGACCGTTTTGAACTTTCTTTAATAATTACAATGCGATTCGATTGTGTCGTTTCACCGTTCGATAATTCGTTTCGCTTTAATACTGCGAAGGAAATATTACAAGAATTAAAATACCTTGAGAGTAAGGCAACGAGCTTAAAAAAGCGACGTGATAAAGAGAAAGAAACTGAAATAAGTGATCGCTTAAATTTATAGTGCAAAATATACTCCAATTCGTTCTCGCGCGATGCTTTTAATCTGCTAATTGCGGAATGTTAAACAGCTTATAACGCTTTCATGAATCGTTCTCGCTCGTATTATTCGTCGCCGCACGTCATTTTATTCATCGGGTTCTGGCTCTCGCGAAATAGCCAGATATAGATGATTGCTTAATTAACGCTTTACTAACTGATTGTTCTTGAGCAGTGCACAAGATTCGCCCCAAGTCCGAAAACTTGGAAGCTTCATCGGTGCAGGAAACGAACGAGCAGCCATCTACGTCACATTCAATGGGTAATTTGTTGAGCGTTCCAAGGCACGCGATCGGTTCGGAACGTTCGATCGATTCAGTACCAGGTGCGATTCTTTCTTCGATTTGTTCAAAGGACTTGGAATATAAATATTATCATGATTCCGATTTATTAAATTCTTCTCGCCTCGTCTCAGACGGTTCAAATCGGTACTGCAAACCATTATGGAGTATTTCACAATCGAAAGACCTGCGACAAACGTGTTTGCGGGATCGTACACCGTCGTCATTGTTAACACACACGCGGACTTACGCGGAACATGCCGATAACGAGTCGGTAAAACAACAGTCTCAGCGGGGAAAGCGAGAAAATGTAGAAACAGTAGGTGGTGGTGGTAACAGTAGTGGTGATGGTGATAATGACCACGGTACAGATTTGCGTTCGAATTTGGAGCATGGTGATAGATATTTGCAAACACGCGATGGTACTATTTCGACGAATAATACACGCGCTTCAACCGATCAAAGAAACCACAGATCTGAAACGAAAAGCTTGTCGTTTGTTTCGAAAGTTGAGCAAACTGTTCCATTTACCCAGCCAATGAATATGAACGCTGTTCAAACACCGTCAATTATTTTAAATTCGACAAATTCGGTTTCCACAACAACGGCGCTAGGTATCAAATGTGATAATTTTTCTCTCGATTCGATACCTTATATCGATCAAACGGATGACACCCCGATGTCATGTTATCCGTTAAACGAATTCAACGAGTATCAATCGGAGAATAATAACATATCTAATAATCGTGTAATTGATGTAACCAGTATTTCACGAGATGATTTCACTGCATCAAATTTACCACGATGTAAAAACGACGTTATGGGCAAATATTCCAGATGTTCGCAACGATCAGTGATTGAAAAAAGATCACAGATCATAAATGAGAATGGACAAGAAGAATCGAATAGGCAACAGGAATACGCAGAAGCTAATAAAACGACAATTATTGGATTTCAAGCGTTGGAACAACGAGACAAAAATTACGAGATAAGAGAAAAAAAGGTGGAGAAAGACGTATCAAATAAGGAGAACGGTGATTCCAAAATTTGCATGATTTCGAAAACAACGCCGACTGTTAATAACGCTGTAATTCCAGTATTAAATCTTGACTTGTCTGGTCTAGATAGCGATACGTCAAGTGATATATCGACTTTCAACAAATGTTGGAAATCACCGGAAGAGGTGCGCCTCGGTTGTGGTGGTCGCGTAGCCGCGTTGGCAAAACATTTTTCAAAACTCGGCGATGTTGAACCGATTCATCATCGACCTAATGCGATTAAATTATTAGAGAGCTCAAAAAAATTTGCTTCAGAACCTAATGTTGCTTCAATTCAAATTTATCAAAAGCGATCGGACTATCGTTTTCCCGCCATCGACGATGTCAATGAATGTCAATCCGAACTAGATTTGAGAAATAGCGAAATTAAACGGCGATATCTTGCGCCAATTGGATTGGACCAAATGTTCGAAAAATCGACCATAGATCTGTTAAATGAAAATGGTGATGTTAACTATTATTGCTATCACAATAATTCAGCCGATGTGCGGAAAGGTCAATCAACAGATGGTAAACGGAAGTTGTCATTGTCAGAACAAAAACAGGTGATAGAACAACTGAGGGAAGTATCCGATCTCGATGGTGCGAGAGCATCGCTTCTTCCTTTTCGTTCTCCTTCTCTACCTTCTTTTCACGTATTGAATAAAGAAACAGACATGGAAGTTTCAAACAGCATTTTCGTCGATACAGAGTCAGGTACAGCGTCATCGTTGTCTTTGCGTGAAATACAGGCGAATATTCAGAGATTCGTGTCATCATGGCCGACGGATATTGGAGAGAACAGTGTGCAAAGTGCGAACGCAAGCAAACCACTCTTATTCGATGGTAAATTGATCAAACGGTTGGCGAATTCCTATCCAAATATTGAAAAGGCAAAAGAATTATCACGTAATGAAGACAGCGAGCAGCGAAAACAGAGGTGGTGTAAACGAAAAAAATACCGTTCCACCAATGAATTGAAACGAACTACTGATCAACAGGGCGATATTGATGAAGCATCATCGTTTCTCACTAACGATCAGCAGTATTTCCGATCTCGGAACGAGGATTCCTCGCAAGATAACGATAACGATAACAAAACAATATACGGACTAAAAACTTGCAAACAAAATTTCATCGTGAAAGACAAATTCCAACAGAATCCGATGTCACGTGTCGCAGAAAAAAACCATTTCGATCTTTTACCGATTAAAAGCGATCAACATGCGTCAGTGGAGATTGAAAAAGAAACTTCGATAATTGATAAAGACGTAGAGATCGATGTAAAGCTCGACCAACATTGGACAAAATCAGATTTATCCAAGATTTATCCAAGATCGAGTCAAACTCATCTAGATATTGGTTTCTTTTTACGTAAGCAATTGATTTTGCTCTCGCATTTTTTTAATGCGTGCCTTTCAATATTAGGAATAATGGATGTTGTGCAAGTTAATAGTCATTTACCAATGATCGACCTACCTCACGCATGTCAAGATAATTTTCTTTCGAGCAATTTTTCTTGTTCTTTTCCCTCTTCTACACAAAAGCACATCTTCTGTTTCTTCCGTTAGCAATCCGTTTCGCTATGAGATAAATGTTTATGTGCATGTTGTAAGTGTAGAGCGAAAGAAAAAAAAGGAGAATGAATGAAAATGTATAAAAGAGAGGAATAGGACTTAGCTTGCTTTTGTTAGAATTTAAATTTTACACGTCCGCTTTTTTTTTCTGTCTTTGTACTTTGTTACATATATACATTATACATATATAAATAACATTCGTACTTTACATGTATTTACTTTACGCTATTTACATGTGTTGTTATTATTGCTATTAACGAAACATGCATGCATACATTATTAAAACACAATCTCGCAGGAAGAAGTATATAATATATTGATGTAATAAACATAACCATTTTTTGAATAAAGCGTGCGATGCACGCGTGAAAAATTGATATTTTCTATATGATTTTTTGAATGATGTAGTCTATTCTGTTGATTTTTCATAATTGGCGGATGAATCACAATATACTGCTTGAGTTATTCATGCTTGTCTAAATGTTCATAATAAATATCATTAAAGTACAACATTACGCAAACATATGTTTCCGCACGTGTGACTATCGCAGGACCTCGTCGCATGAGTGAACGAGACTTACCATCTCGGCTTGGACGCGATGCTACTGCACCGCAACAACAAATACATACCAGCAAGTCCGTGCCAGCATTGCACAGTAAGTAGAAACAATAATTGAAGAAAGGAGAGTGAATGATAGCGAGATGGAGAGAATGTGCTATATGGTTGTCATTATCGTGTTGCTCGTTGGATTCACGCACTCCTTTCGCCTCTAACTTGGTCACACACTTTACTTTCGTGATATTATGACTCACTTCTAATCCGCTTTTCACCTTCTCGTTTTTCACTTCGTCTCGCCTCGCTTCATCTCGTTCCGTTTTGTTTCTTTTTCCTTTCTCTTTCTATTTTTTGTATCTAACATTTTACGCGCTATTTATTATATTATTACTATTATTTTTGCGTCATTGTTTTCTCACGTTGCCGGGTTAAAATTTTATCTCACAAAAATATGTATACTAATTAATGTGTGTCGTACGGTTCTGTAAAACAGATGTAGGAACGGATGGAAAACAACAGCACGAGGTGTTCAATCCTGGTTATAGCAGGGCATCGTCGAGTAACAGCGTTACACCGCCTGTTACGCAGCCACCTCCACCGATGACCACAATCAACGGTTCGACATCGCTACGTTCTCGGTAAGAGAACTCATTTTTCTTTCGAACTTTAGTGAATTTTTTCTTACTTTAGATCCTAACTGTACCATAAGAATTTTCGATTCCTTTTGCTTCCCAAAATAATTTTACCATCTTTTTTAAATCATGTTTATCCATTCCTCTTTATTTATATAATATATTTCTTCTTAAAATAGCTCGAGTCATAATTTACATGATCCAACAAAAATGGGAACATTACCACCGAGTGGGCTTGTGAGTAGACAACAATCGTCACCGAATTTGAACCCTGGTCAAACAACGAGTAACAATAGTTCAAGTGCTAATGTTGGGCCAAGTTCGAATATTCTTCAAAGTAACGAAGCCGAAAGATTTTATCAAAACTTGAGCATCTATCGGAATCAAGACACGACGGCGACGACAACGACCGCGACCACGACCACCACCACGACCAAGCAACGACATAGTCCGTCTCAACATTCGGATGACAGGTAATTAGCTTTTATTTTTCTTATTTTTTATCATTTGTTTTAATAAAATTCTTTCATTTTGGTTTTCTTACTTTAGTTTTATTTTCTCGACCTGTGAATTTCAAATAAAATTATCTGATTTGTTCCTTTTCCGTGAATTTGTAGGAATCCTCTGCAGCTGCAAAAGAACTCGAGAGGTTCACAAAATTCTTTGAATCGTCCGGGAACATTCGAAATGAATCAGGCCAGAGACCGTCCAATATCTGCATATGTACCTCAACCTCAACAACAATCTTACCTTGTTGGTGGTCTTTCGCAACAACAAGGCTGTGCAGCGCCTCCAAGATCTCAGTCATCTCGGGATATAATACGACAAGAAGCAAAGCTTCAAGAAATGCAAGAGGAAGTCAGAAGACGCGAATTACGAGGTGGCATTCCAGTCCCATTGAATCAGTATCGACCAGCCGCATATAATTTAAAAACAAATATGTCCGTTCAATCCCCGATAAGTTCTGCCGTCCGACCAACAAAATCTATCGGTTCCCAACCAAATTTGGGATCAAGTCCACCAGTAACAGTGTCCTCCGCACCATCAATCTCAACATCTGGTCATGTAACCACGAGACAAACGGGACCTTCGAATTATGGTTACTTGGATGCGCAATATGGCCCCTATATGGTCCAATATGGGAAATCTCCACACGTGCATCAACATCAACACCAACATCAATCTCAACCTCAATCGCAACATCAGCATCCGCATCAACATCAACACCAACATCAGCTTCAGCTTCAGCATCAACATCAGCATCAGCATCAACACCAGCACCAACATCAACATCAAAATATCCAACAACAAAATCTTGGACATATTCAATATGGACATGCTAGTATGACATCTGCCAGAGGAAAAAACGATTTAATTCGCTTACAATCCAACGGAATGTTGCTCGACTATGGAAGAGATCAAGGTACACGAGATATTGGAAAATTATATATGGATCAAAATCAACATGTTGCTGTTGGATCGCAGTATTATTTAAATTCGGATGTACGAAACGAACATTATAATGACGAAAGTGGAATAAATAGAGCGCAAACTGCACCGGAAGGAAGTACGATGTCTAATGAAATTCCAATACGGCCTACTTTACCGGAAGAAGGATATCCAGAAAGTCCTCCGCCGCCGCCGCCAAGCACTTCGACTCATCCACTTTATAGTAAACAATCGGATTCAAGGTAATATCTTTTTGGTTAATTAATGAAAGATTAGATAATATAGATGAAACTAAAAAACTGAAATAATATTTATCTACCCAGGTACACTGCGAGTATGCAGGATCCTCCTCGCGGGGGGTATTATCCAGCAAATACGACTGGAACTACATTACAACCACGTCAATATCAATATAGTGCTACAAATCCATGGCAACGAGAAGAGAAAGAAAGAGTAAGTTTATTTATTAAATGTATCTTTGTTATCGTTTTATTGCTATTATCATATGAAATTATTTAGGAACAAGCACGTAGAAGAGAAGCTGCAAGACAGTGGCGAGATCAACAAATAGCGGAATTAAGTGCGTTATCTCACAGAACATCACAACAGGAAGAACAACTGCGGGCTCTTCAGCTAGAAAGAGACTTTCAAAAAAGAGCTGAGGAAGTTGCCAATCAACAAGACGATGACGAAGAAAGTAATGATTTAGACACAGAGAACATAAGAGTACAACAAAGCCTGCTTCGTACAACGGTGCCACAAGATCGAAATAATTCATTGGAGCAACATCACCTCAACTTGCCTAGAACAAATGCAACCAATCAATCTATCAAAGGAAATCATACTGGTCAATCTGTTGGTGGTTCCCCGATGCATTCTACCACCGTCGTGCCAATACACACGGGCAATGGCTCATCTCAGCAATCTTCGCAAAATATTGTAAATACTTGTCTGCAACAGCAACAGCCACATCAACAGCAACAAGAGAGTTCTGGTTCGCATTTTTCGTCAGATCTTCAACATGAACACACCAATCAAATGCCAAATAACATAGGGCAAATTCAAATGTCATCCTTGCTTCATTTGACCTCTTCTCAAAAACCACTTGGTTTATCTCAATCTAACGAAGAAAAAGAAATGCATCGTAGACACGAGGAAATTAAGCGAAAACAAGTCGAATTCGATGACACTCAATCGAAAAAGAAGGAGGAAGAAATTAACAAACAACAGCAAATCCAACAAATGTATCAACAGCAACATCATTCGCAACAGCTGCAATCCCATTTGAAAACTCAACAAATGTTACATCCCAGTATGTTACGATTGGACAGCCTAATTATTAACGGATCAAGCGCCTCTTGTAAGTATTTATAACACTGTCAGTAATGACAAAATAAAAACAAAGTCCTCTTCTACTAATTGTCGCCATTTATGTTTGGATTATGTGTACATATATATTTTGATAGCCACGCATAATACTAGCAACGATGCGCCTCTGCCTCCGGAACGAGGTTCTAGTTATGCGGTTATGTCGCAACAAAGTACCCTGAGATCGAATAATGCAAACATATCTAATATAGTAACATTGACTCAGCCGCAGTCAACGTCTGTTAAGAGAGTCTCTTTTCATGACTCAAATGCAAATGTAGAATCAATGCAACGAAGTGTTTCGTCTGGAAATTCGAGCGCAAGTCAGGTTCTGGCTATGGATGTCATTACAGAAGATCCAAATGTAAGATTATATATACACATACATATTATTTCTGAAATTGTGTACACTTTCGCACATGTTCAATCACATATTGTATTAAATGATTTTAATCAATTTAAATTATTTACATTTTTTATGCAGATAATATCATCATTTATTCAATATACATGTATTAGGTAGCTTCATCCTGTTTTCATTTCAATTCCAATTGAAAACTTTTATTACAAATTTTGATGGTTTGCCAATTTATAGTCGAGCAACTTAAAGTTACTACTATGTAAACGTATGTTCACTGTTTACTTATTACTTTCAGAATTTCATAAATGATGCAGAAATTTTATTGGCATCTCCAAAAGCACCCGAAGGATCCTGTGGGGCTCCAATTACTGGTAGTACGCCTGGTGTAATAGGTGCTCAAGAAGTGTACAAGTAACGCTATAATTTATTATTTTTTGTGCTCGAATGATTGCTAATAATCAGAAAATGAATCGTGGATTTTTACTTTATTGTTTTGTTTAGGGATCCCAGACAAAGAAGGCTCGCTGAAAAACAAAAGCAGCAACAAAGTTCTCAAGTTGGGCAAGTACCTGAAAAGCTAAGTTTTAAAGAAAAGATGAAAATGTTTGCTATGGAAACCGGTGAGGATGGAACGCCGCGGGACAAGGTAAAAATTTCACGTGCGCAGCGCGAAATAGATAATATTGGAAATCCCACTATCCCTACATTGAATAGCAATAATCACCACCACAATCATCACAATAATAATAACAATAATAACAGCAGCAGTGGCAGCAACAGCAGTACTAGCAACAACCCGAATAACAATAACAGTAACAGCAGTAATATCAATAACAACAGTAGCAACCGACAACAATAGAAATTAAGACTGAAAATTGAAAATTGATTTATTTTCTTTAGAATTATACTGTTACTAATATGAATAAATCAGATAGAATAGCATGGTCATGGTCCAAAACCAAACTGTTGTTATATTTAACGTAAAGTAGAGTGTATGTGTATTATATTCATAATGGCACTGACTATTTTACATGAGTATACATGGATCATTCCAGCAACTATTTGCACAGACTTGACCAAGAGTATGCTATAAAAATGGATATAAATACAAGTAGTAGAACAATTATTAATTAGAACTATTAGGGTAGAATAAATGCATTCACACAATTTTATTATCTCTTGGCCTTCATATCTCTAGCATTTAGCTACATAGATAATGTTGAATGCATTTAATGCCTACTCATTCCATTGGACCAATTAGCGTTCTACACAATAAATAAGGCTTATACCGAGGTCTAGGATATAACCTGGAACCTGAGAATTATTACATCGATTTTACTGAAACAACGTATCATAAAATTATACGTTATATCATGAATGTACATAGATAGAACTAGTTGAATTTTTAGAATTACTTGTTATTTACGATATTGTTTCGTATTTATATTTGATGTGACGCGTATCGAGTACTGAGTATTTCGACTTACGCGTATGCACCTTTTCGTTACACAGCCAAGAGGCACGATAGCTTTAATGCGATCGTCATTAATAAAACATACACGAATTTAATCAAATGTGTGGCAGCTTTAAAATAAGACAATGATTATGCAAACAGGGAAAGGATACATTGGTATCTGACCAAAAGAAATTTCAAATGAAAAAACATGATTATTTACGCAATTAATCGTTGTTATGGAGCTAATTAGTTTTTTACAATAACCATAATTATTCCGTCTTCGGCTATGTACGTAGATATAATGGTCGGTCGATATCATAAGATTTTACTTTATGTGTGTCCATTGAATGACATACGTATAACTCCTTGTCGAGTGATAAAAAAGAGAACGCTATAATTCTTATATTTCTTTACATTACAACGTCGAATTGTTTTTTGTTTTAACAATTGCGTATTCACGTAATATGTATTCATATACGTAAAAATCTATTGAAAAAAAAATTTACTGAAATGAAATTGACAAGGGGTAGAAAAATTAACAAAAAAGTAACGCGGTACATAAAAATATAATTTTTGTTGTGTACAGCGAATATAGAACATTACATAATATAGCTACACTATATTTTTTCTAACATATATTTTGATGTTCCGTTGATACGAAAGTAATTTGATAGTGATTTAAAACGAATATCCTACGACTGTATATCTTATTGCGAAGTATTGTCACAGTTTACTATTGTATACATTAACGATTATACATACATTTACAGATCACCTATTTTTTAATTATTGTAAAAGACGTACGATGCGATTGAGAAATAAAAAGAATTATTTGTAATCTACAGTGATCGAAAAAAGTATTTTAGGTAAAAAAAAATTCCTTGATTTTTATATAGTATCTAAATATACATACAAACAAAGAAAAAGAAACAATTTTTAGGTTATAAAAAATATATTGTCAGAAAATACAACAATATTACTTATAAGAAATTCTAACGGAAATTATTTGGATACGTATGTATATAGCAGGACGGAAATATTTTCAAACAATCATCAGTAAATAGAAAGGAAAGTATTATATAACATGCAAATAAATATAATAGAACTTTTCTCTGGTTTATGTATTTAACTACTTCCCTAAGCTTACGTATTTATCTCTATAAAATATATATATATTATATTAAAATACAAATTTTATAACGTAGGAAAATCTCAATTTTTCATAAAAATACTATAATGATGCATATTTGACTTAATACCATTAGAAAATTAAATTATAAATGATATAGATACATGTTTCTAAAGAGAAAATAAAAAAATAAAAGTAAGAATAAATAACTGAATTTAATTTGTTTCGAATAAAAATACGTTACTTAATATCGGAAAATTCCAAAGGATCGTATTTATAGTATTCTAAATCTTAGTATTCTATCATCTGTAATACAGATCTCATATCGTTTCTTTAACGTAATTAAAAGTTTATTAACTACTTGTCACTTTTCGTAGCAAAGTTTAACGATACAACTGATAAATCAAATTAAAAGTAAAGAAATTTAAACACGGTGAAATCTTCATTGCGTCAATTTTATTTTGCATAAAAAGCTTATTTTTCTGATATTTCGGTGTGTAACCAATCAGCCAATCAAAGTCCTTTCATCCATATCGACATCGACTTGGCGCATTGCATATAGCATGCATATAGAGAATAGAGAACCATACGATAGAGAGCGCATACACGTGTTACAATTTAGCTGACATTGACTGGAAATTTCCCGAGAGAGGCGGCATAGTCGCGTCAGGCGGAAGGAAACATTTCCTCTTTGATCCGTAGGATATCGTCAGGTGTCTTAAACTAAATTTGGACAAATCGTGTTAGTCGATTCGATATATTATAATTATAAGTAAGTGATTATTACGCATACGCTTTAGCCGAATTCGTGGTACAAAAGTGAATTCTTCAAAAGAATAACAAAAATCCATTCAGCCTCGAGTACTCTTTACGTAGAGACATTTATTATTGTGGACACTTTGAAGACTCAGTGTAAAATTGTTTTAGTGAACATACTTGAAAGAAAATATTGGCCGATTTACGTCTGTTCATGTTCATGTATGCTATATATATGAGAATTGGTTCAGAAACGGAAGAAACAGTTATTAAGTAGAAGAAAGAAGGATAGAGGCAGAAGTTGGAACATTGAATACAGGAACATAATTTCTAATTTTTACAAATTAACCAGTACCAGTTATTTGTCATTGAAACGGCTCAACATACAGGTAAGTATTATTTCGTTCATATTTCTGTTTTAATTTGGATTGCATGATGGATACGCACGAACAAGACTAATGGTGAATAACTAATTTAATTTAGTCCAAAGAAGTATTATTTTTATTGGATATATTGTTTAAGTATGATATAGTATATAGATCAACATATATAAAAACATAAAAATCTCTCTTGTAAATATTTTGTTCGTGCAGTAAAACACTTAATGGAGACATTAAGTTAATGGTATAATCTTAAATGGGAAATGGGATATAAATTATCGATCGTTAACATCGGTGAATGTCGAATCATCGACGTTGCGTATGACTGTATGTATGCACATACTACGTGTGTGTAAAAACCGTTCTACCAGTCATATAAAAATGAAAATTCATTGGAAATGCTTAGAAAACCTGTTTATTTAACACTCAAATCAAACTCGAAATTGATAATGTGTTATTATATTCTATGTTTTATACAAATTTCATTTATGATTAAAACAAGTAATCCATATATAATCCTTCCATGCAATATATATTTTCCAAGTAATTCTAATCTTTAATTCTTCATTTTTGTTTCTAATGCATTTAATCATATCTTTATTAGAACTACTAGAGAAAATATGGTGAAATTTCTCGTATGGAGTTTTATTGATAGGAATTAAGTAATAATTGATAAGGAATGATTAGTTAACATCACGTAATGTAGTAAGGATTATAAAGAATTATAAAGGATTATTAGTATTATAATAATGAAAAAGATTAGAAGAAAAGATTAGAAAGATAAAAGTTGCTAAAGAAAATCAACTGATATGATAGTACATCACTACATGCATATAATCCATACAGTGCACTTTTAACGATAACGGGAGTTTCCGTTCCCGGAATGTTATCGTTATCTTCAAAATAAAAATATCCCAACTAATTCAAGATAATTATTTTCGAACTATATATTATAATAGTTGACATGTAGAGAAGACGAAAGTAATAAGCGAGATATGATAAATCTTTTTTTATAAGGGGTAATATTAGTAGTTTATCACAGACAATTATAATCTGTCTATGAAAAAAAAAGAAAAGAAATGAATGAGTAGAAAAAGAGGGAATAAAAACAGTATCTATCGATGATATTTTGTCGATTTTGTGAGAGATTTTCGAAAATAGGAACTGAAAATAGATTGATATTTTTTTTTTAATTTACAAATTATGACGATATTCTCATACACAGGTAGTGTTGGAAGTATGTAAACTAACTTTCGGTATTATCAATGACTTTCATGTTACTGAAATAGAAATGTATTTTAAGGAAGAGTTTTCGAGATTCTATTGAGTTGGCAAAGCGCCAAATATCTACAATCTACACTAGCCAAAACTATCCTCGTTGGAAATGTATTTTACAGAATTGCCAAGTAAACGAAAAATGTTGCTGATGTATCAAGTATGTACTTACGTACATATTAAAATTTAATGTGTCGCATATATGTATCAGAGATTCGATTTCGCAGGATAAAGACACTCATAATTTACTCTGCCTGTATTGATTTTAGTATTTCTTGCTTCAAATTTTCTTATCCTTTTCTAATATTACATCGTAGAGTTATCTATACATGTTTTTCGGTGAAGATAAAAACAGACCTACATGTGAGAAAAAGTATAGAAAAAGTGTATCATTTGTTTACGTATCGTAAAGTAGTGTCAAACTAATCCTCCCTAAACAATATCGTATTTAAAATTAAGAAAAAAGCAAGGGTAGTTTCGGTAAGTACACGTTGTTGCACTGTTGTGAGTTTTTCTGTTATAAATCTTCAAAAAACAAACTTTAAATATCTGATACAAAAACTGAAAAATGTACATATAATAAAAAAAAAAGTTATGCAACTTTGAAATGGGTTACCCCATAAATACAGAGTGTAGCTTCCGTGGAAATAAATGGATACTACGGAATTTATAGTAGATGAAAATTATTGGAAAAAAGTAAACTTTCTGAAAGAGGATAACCAAAGTTTTGTTGAAGTTTAGTTAGGGCACGAGCGTTGGTTACATGCTCAAGCATAAAATGTACCGGAAGAAGAAGGAGAAAGAAAAATATGTAGTGGGAGCATGACTTGATGAAAGGGCAAAGAGAAAAAGAGAAAATAGTGGAGGAGTAAAGATGTACAAAGCTCTGGATAGTCGTGTAGCGGGATGAATCGTGAGGTAGCAAGACGGGATGAGAAAGTAGTCACGATATATAAGTGTAATGATAGTGCAGCCATTGATCGTCGTCGACAACGACAGTGGTAAGATGACGAAATAACGAGATGATGAAGCTGTGAGACGACTACATGCGGAAAAATTCAAAATAGCAAGATGTAGGGAAGGTAAATGGAAGACGGCAAGAGACAATAAAATAGATAGCTGTTGAAAAGAACCGACGTTAGTAAGACAAGAATTCTTCGATATAGCTGTTGTGAGAGAACAAGTACTTAGCCCTTGTATATGCATGCGTATACACACGTATACGCGCACAGATACATCTTTTCATCTTTTCGAATATTTCGTAGCTTTTTAATCCAACAGATCTGGTTTATGTAGCAATTGTGATTGTTACAAAAATTGAAAACTAATTATAACGTGCGACTGCGCGAGGCCAACGTGTATTAATCAGAGTTAGTAACTGAATGTTATATATACGTATCAAGAGTATTGGCGGAAGGTTAGATGTAAATATGAAATAAATATATTTATTAATACGTTTAAAATAGGTAAAGTTTATTTATCTGATTGGTAGCAATATTGGTTGGTTGCAATCATTAAAACAGAACGAATAATTATTTGCAAATAGAGCATAAAGAATGATATCTATTGTTTGTTGATCGATCGATTCAGTATAATATGCGCAATAACAAGGTCTAGTTTCGCATTACCTTTGATAGGAGAGTATGAGTATAAGAATCTACGCCTTCGAACTCGACCGCAGAGGTGACCTCTGATCAGTGATATCAATAATTTACCAGATCGGATTCGCGATACATCAAATTTCAATTCGAACATTGTATATGGTGCGCGCACGCGAACATGTGGGAAGGTGGGAGAGAGAAGGAACATTTTAACCATAAGTAACATCCTGATCAATATATACAATACACAGCATATAGAACGTGTATATAGGAGAGGAATCACGAAATCAAGAAGTAGACATATTAATTTCATATTCTGAACTTAAATTACATTTGTAAGGACATTTGTTCTTCTATTTGCATACATACGTATATACGTATATAGAATATATCCGTATAAGTATGTCGTGTAAAAATTAGCATTGATCGAGTCTCGAATAAAGTCGAGTTCACATTTAATCTTAATCTGTTGGATCATCTGCGCAATACCTGTTTGTTCCCACTTTTATTTTCTGTCTATGGCGATCTCTCCCTTCACGGTCACAGTTTATCTATTGCATTAGACGATTAAGTAGATTTTACGCGCGTACATTTTACGTAATGAATCAATGGAGCGCGCGCGCGCCCGCGCGC